ATTATTGGTGGGCAAACACCCCCATAAAAAAAATAAAAAAAAAAAAAAAAAAAGAAAAGAAAGAGAAGTCTCTCTTCCCTTCCCAAGCCCCAGGCTCCCCTCCAATTCCCTCCTCCCAGGTAGCCCTGCCACTGGTTTTGTGGGAAACCTTCCTGTTCTCTTCCTTCCCACTCACATCCAAGTGCACATCAGTCCCTTTTGTTCGTTCTAACCAAAACTTTATCTGAAAATAAACATCTAACTATAGTGACTGGGCCTTTTGTGGGTGTTTTTGGAGACATCCTCTAGGGTTGGAATGAATTTCCATTCAAATTACAGCTTCTCTCTCAGTCCCTGTCCTCCCTGTTCTCCATCACACTCCCTGTCTAATCACAGTTCATCACTCAGTAGTTAAAGTGCCCGGATTCTTTGGTGGTGTTGAAATATGGCTTTAATTCGATCTTACGGAGTTGGGATCGGATGCGGAATCATTGCAGTGACTGCTCTGGGGGAGCTCTTACGCTGTCCTCACCAAGGGGTAGCCTGGGCCAGGATGTGTGTTAGGGAGCTGAGCCACCACGCGTCTAGAAGAACCAGGCTTGGCCAGCAGGTGGCGCTGTGGTTAAGGCACTGGATCCCACAAGGCCAGCCATGGTTTGAGTCCCGGACACAGTGGCTTGAAAATCGCACCAGGGGGACCAGCAGATGGCATAATGGCTATGTCGCTGGACTCCCATGTAGTTGACCGCGGCTCGAGTCCCGGGCCTGGTGGCTTAAACTCATGCCAGGCACATGTGCATGCGTGCCCAAGATCCCAAGAGGAGAATGGAAGAGAAGGGATTGCAGCATGGCCATCCCTCCTGGGGGGGAGGGGGAGCGATTTCATGTGCCCTATAGCAAAAAACCTCTCCAAAAAAAAAAAAAAAGAAAAGAAAATCACACCAGGCACACATGCATGCATGCCCAAAGCCCTGAAAGGTGAATGGAGGAGAAGGAATCATGGCATGACCATCCTCCCAAATGGGGTGTGATTTCTCACTTTCCCTCTCTTGGGCTCTCTCCAGCAAATGCACATGCTCTATGGCAAAAGTTCTTTTTTGTTTTTCTTTTAAAGAATTATTTCATTTAACTTTTTAATTAATTTATTTTCAATTTGGTCAGAGAGGGACAGAGAGAGAAAGCAAACCACCAGGTCTGGGACTCGAAGTGTTAATCACAAGGGAGTGCAGTGCCCTCAATCACCATGCCACCTGTCAGCCCCTCTATGACAAAAATTCTAAAAATAAATAAATAAGAACCAGGTTTTTTTATTTATTTTTTTTTCTGGAGGTTTTTGCTATAGGGCTTGTGCACTCGCCAGACAGACAGAGAGAGACAGAGAGACAGAAAGCAAGAAATCACCCCCCAGGGGGGATGGCCATGCCACAGTCCCTTCTCCTCCACTCTCCTCTTGGGATCTTGGGCACGCACGCACACACGCCTGGCGTGAGTTTTAAGCCACCAGGTCCGGGATTTGAACCGTGGTCAACTACGTGGGAGTCCAGCGACATAGCCATTACACTAACTGCTGGTCCCAAGAACCAGGTTCTTTAGGAGAATATGTGCAAGGGAATGATTTGCTCAGCAATATATTTTCCCCCCAGAGGGTACATGTACTCACCAGAGAGAGAGAGAGACAGAGAAGGAGAAAACATCCACAGTCCTTTCTCCTTCTTCTGTATCTTGTTGGGTTTGAAGGCATGGAAGCGCTCACATGCATCGAACACAAGGGCCAAGATTTAAACCACGAGATTGGCCATGTCGATCCAGCTCCCCTAACCCCCAGGCTATGAGTGCAGCCCAGGAATGTGTTTATGAATGGGAGGAGTTGCCTGTATCCTCTGCATGAGTCCATTATTGTGTTGCTAAACTCAGTACCAAGTGAACTCTGAAGAACTGAGGTTTATTGGGCTCATGATTCTGGTGGCTGACAAGTCCACAGCCATGGAGCAGACAGAATGTTATGGCCAACAGAGGTAGAGAGGAAGGCTGGCATGTGTAAAGAGGGAAAGGAGGGACCAGCAGATGGTGTAATGATTACGTCACTGGACTCCCACATAGTTGACTGCAGTTTGAGTCCCGGACTCGGCAGCTTGACACTCACGCTGGGTGCATGTGGCTGCGTGCCCAAAATCTCATGAAAATAATGGAGGAGAAGAGACTGCAGTGTGGCCATCCCCCTGGGGGATGATTTCTCACTTTCTGTCTTTCTGTCTCTCTGTCTTCCCGGCAAGCACTTGTGCCCTGTAGCAAAAATTCCCCTAAAAAAAAAAAAAAAAGGAAGAGGAAGGACAAGGAAAGACTCTTCCCATTTCCTGTGTTTGTCAGTACCAGCCAATTGGATCGCGCCCTCATACTAGGCCCTGCCTTTTAAAGGTCTCATCACCTCCCAAAGCCATTACACTGGGGACCAAGCCTGTAAAACCTGAGCTGAGCCTTTGGGAGGCACCAGCAGATGGCATAATGGTTACATTGTTGAACTTTCACATGGCTGACCACGGTTTGAGTCCCCGACCCTGAGGCTTGAAAATCACACCAGGCATGTGCGTGTGTGCCCAAGATCCCAGGAATAAAATGGAGGAGAAGCGATTAAGGAGTAGCCATCTCCTCGGGGAGGGGGGTGATTTTTCACTTTCTCTCTGTCTCTGTTTCTGTCTCTCTTGCTCTCTCTCCCTGGTGACTGTACTTCCTCTGGTAAAAACCTCTAAAAAGAAAACAACAGGACAGGGGTCAGCAGATGGTGTAGCAGTTAAGTCACTAGACTCCCCCATGGTCAGCCATGGATCGAGTCCCAGACCCGATAGCTTGAAACTCACGCTGGACGCGTGTGCGTGCATGCCCAAGATCCCAAGAAGAGAATGGAGGAGAAGGGGTTGTGGTGTGGCCATCCCCCCCTGGAGAGGGGGATGATTTCTCGCTTTCTCTTTCAATGTCTCTGTCTCTCTCTCTAGAGAGAGCACTTGCACCCTAGCACTAAATCCTCTAAGGAAAAAACAAAATAGGAATGGAGACGCACCAGGGGGCCAGGGAGAGTGGCACATGGCCCGGGCAGTAGGCGCAGATCTGGTGACAGGTGACCACGGAGTGAAGGGAGCCCCCAGATCTCCCCTGGTGGAAGGAGACAGGCCAGCAGCCCCGACACTCTTCTGTGAGTGACGTCAGAGCCCACAGGTCCCTCGAGAGCATCCCAGGGTGACTGTGGCTTTGGTGCCCTCCAGGAAAGCTGAAAGAATGGAGTCTCATCCTCTATGGCACCGCGGAGCACCCGTACCACACCTTCAGCGCCCACCAGTCCCGCTCACGCATGCTGGAGCTCACAGCCCCCGAGCCGGAGCCCCCCAAGGCCGCTCTGTCACCGCCATCCCAGGCTGAGGTTCCTGAGGAGGAAGAAGATTACACAGGTAAAGGGCCGAAGCCGGAGAGGACGGCTAGCCTCCCCTCACTCTGCCTCCACTGGCGCTCTTACAGTGTGGGTTGATCCTGGCCAAAGGTGGGGGATCTGAGCTGGCTGTCGTCTCTTGCCCGGAAGTCCTAATAATGATGACAATTTGCACCCACACAGCTCCTCCCACCCAAGGCTCTCCTAATATTTTACAGACCAGTAAGTATGCTTCGAACCAGTAAGTATGCCACCTTCCCAGGTCGGGAAGCTAGGGTCTGATATGCCCAACCAGAACTGTGACTTACCCTGTGGTTAGTTCTCTGCTGAGGGGAGCAACTTTATTTTTAAATTTCTTTTTTTATTTGATTTATTTTTAAAGGAATTGTTTTATTTTAGTCATTGTGATGATTTTTTTTAATTCTTTATTTAATTTTATTAATTATTATTATTATTATTCAATTTGACCCAGAGAGAGGGAGAGTGATAGTGAGAAAGCAAGCCACCGGTCATGTCATGTGAGAATCCAGTGTCTTAACCACCACACCACTTGCTGGCCCCGTTTTATTTTTTTGAAGTTAACCAGAGAGAGACAGAGAGAGAAGGAAAGTGAGAAAGCAAGCTGTCAGTTCTGGGATTCAAACCACGGTCAGCCACATGGAAGTCCAGCTGCCCTAATCACCATGCCCACTGCCGGCCCCTATTATTTTAGTTTCATTTTATTAATTTTTTAAATTTTATTTATTTATTTA